TTTGTTAGGATAGGACAATATTTGGCCGAGATACAACTATTTGAAAATCTGGAATATGAGGGTGCAAAAAAATCCAAATATTGAGAAAATCGCCTTTAAAGTTGTCCAAATTAAGTTCTTAGCAATGCGTATTACTAATCAAAAATTAAGTTTTAATATATTTACAGTATGAAATTTATAAAATATCTTCATGGAACATGATCTTTACTTAATATTCTAATGATTTTTGGCATAAAAGAAAAATCAATAATTTTGACCCATACAATGTATTTTTGGCTATTGTTACAAATATACCCCAGCGACTTAAAACTGGTTTTGTGGTCCAGGTCACATTTGATACTGATTTGACTATGTCTGAGAACCAACCAGACAGGTTTTCCTGGGTCCTTTGAGGAATGGGTATGATATTTTAGTGTATACACTGCACGATTTTAGCAATCCTATAAGATCATTACTTTATCACACTGTGCAACATGGATTGTTTAAACTTGGGTACGACAAGCATGTAGACTGTACGCTGAAACAAAGAAGAGGCGCCGGCGGAAGAGGGCAATATGGATCCACTCATGGCTCGGGAAAAGAGGACAACTTGGGATGCCAGTTTTGCACAGGGAGCTTGGCAGCTGCAGTTCCTCCGCTATCTCCTTCCATGCTATGTCCTTTTTGGTGCGGTCATGATAGCAGCTAGAGGACACATCATACAAACATGCCCTCTGCTGCCACAACTCAACAAGAATTTGTTCTTTATGGGTATCCCACATAACAGTATACCTTCTACTTTTTTTTGCCTCTATGGCATTGAAATTTTAGCGCCGCTGGTCGCGTGGATCAATACGTCATTTCATGTTGCAATTTCATTGGCTGCTGAGTAGACGTAGGTCGTTGCAGCAAACACACTGTGCGTTGATCATGCTGAATTTCTGACACTGTCAGAAAACAATCGTAGGCTATCTTTGGTCGCAAGACTGGGAAAACGCCTGTCTTTGAACCTCTCTCACTGTACGACATAAGACCACCGATTAAGAGCCACGATTACAGAAATCGCCACGATTGCTTCACAATGGCAATCTTTCGTCTGGGACAGCCAAAAATCGTGCAGTGTATTCCGGGCTTTAGGGCATGTTTACAGGCTTCATTTGATTAAACTCTGGTGTTCTGTTGTGCAGTTAACTTGTATTGAAAAGTGTGAGCACTACCATCTGGACCTTGGTGTGCACCAAACAGGCAGACCAAGACCCCTGAAAAAGTTGGCCTTGGTCTGCTTCCAAACAAACTGAAATCTGAAAACTGAACGCAGTACTGACCAAAGACATGTAAACGAACCAAAAACAGGATGTGATATCACAAGATGACTCCTAAAAAGGTTCAAATGCTTAAGCACACATGGTCTTCTCATCATAGGAGCTATGTTGTTGCCCATTACAGTTTGGTCAGACGTCAGAACTGGTGTCCTTACAACAGATCCTTCTTTGTGTGTGCTGGTGCTGTTTTGACTCATTTGCACATTTTATACGTTTTTTTTTTGTGAGATATCAGCTGGTAAAAATAACCCGTATACCACAAGCATGTTCAGCCCAGCACACAGCAGAAACTATTTTAATAAATTAAAAAATGACATTTGCTTTGATAATTTACTTTAAAATATGAAATCTGATGTTTAGGTTGGACACCTGACTGATCTTTTTCAATAATTTCTCATTACAGATATCATTCAGAAAGTCTGTATTTAATAACTCTGCAAATGTGTGGTAATTCACTTTTTGTGTGTCAAAAGAAATTTCAGCTCAGCAATTTACGATCAGGAAAAAAATGAAGGTCTCGTGTAAGTCTGTCAAGTGAGTTCTGTTGAGATTTCATCTTTAATTGGAAAGAATTTGCAATTCCGCTTTTGGTCACCTATCATTTTTATATTTAAGACATGGGTTTAAGAGCTTCATGTATTATATATCTCACCTGTAATGAATACAATCCGAATCCGAGTCCACAGAGAAAATCTTTAATTTAATCATGGAAATATCGTTTTATTCATGTTCGCTCCAGTGCTGCTGTCATTAAAGCAAAAAGGAGACACATCAAATACAAAGACATTCTGAAATTAAAACTTTCACTCCTATTGTTATGCTGAGGACACATTTTGCATTGTAATTTTTGTGTAAATTTATACAAAACAGAAACATAAGTATTAGTGACATTAGATTTTGGGGAACTGTTGTATGTCATATACTGTACAGTAGCTTTAAAAATTAAGATTCATATGCACTTCTAAACTGCTTTGGATATTAAAAAAGGATGATGAGGTTTTCTTGAGGACAACATTTTGCATGCATTTTTTAAGAAGTGTGTTCTAGTTTGTTCATCTACTGTATGCAGTTGCTTGGTTGGACATGCTGCCTAATTGTTTGAAATATTAATAATATCTCTTCTTTAAACACAGGGGGCCTGCATTAAATCCATTTCACAGAGAACAGCCACAATGGATTGATATTTTGTTGTATAATGCAGTGACATTCATACATTTTTAAGTGTGGCTGAGGTGTTCAAATATTTGTTGGAGTCACTGTCTCAGATGCCAGTCTTCCGGGGAGTGGATTCAACTTTCCATTCAGCTGCAAATTGACAGAGAAGCAGGATGCCCTCTCTCTGTTTTCAGCTGAGGTTCAGCGATGAGCTATAAAGTGAGAGTTAAATGAAATAAACACATTCTGATGCCCGTGCTTTGAAAAATGAAAGATTGCTTATGTGAAAAGCAGTAGAAGATTTGACCACATGATTTCCAAAGCCCATTTTCTACTGATAGTGTGCCAGTATTGATGCCCAGTTTAGAAAGGTTTGGGATTGTGGGGTTGGTATGAGATCCTCACCAAGAAAAGTTCCTGTCTCAAGTGTGTGGAAATGTTTTGAGAGTTCTGGCACCAGCATATCGGTGGAAATGTAGCAGTTTGAGTGTTGTCTTACTGTTTAGAGGTATTTCAAGTACGAGGAAGCCAAGGGATGCTGGAAACGCTGGAGATGTATCCATGCTTCCTGTATTTCTGTTTCCTTTGGGTTTCAAGTCTTGCAGTGTTACATGCACATGCTGATTATTGATCGCCGTACAGTTCTGTAGCCTGAAAAATGTAATTTCACCTTGCTGGAGATTGTTAAACCGGTGTGTGGGTGAGCTGAGTGAAAAATAAGAAAAACATCCATTTTGGATCCGTGCAAAGGTGCATCTCAAGAAATACGAACCATTAGAGAGTTTGGGGAACATTTCGATTTCAGATATTGTTGCCTGTTATTCAGTTGGCTTTTACTCTAGTCCGGTTTTCAGTCGCAAAATAAATTGCTTGCGATGTTCCTAATTTGTAATTTGCTTTAAATTAAAGTGTCTGCTAATTTATATAAACTACTAAATGCTCATTTTATAGTATTATGCATTACATTTTTTGCATTTCAAGTGAACAGCCTTGGTCAAAATTCAAAATGAGTAATTGAGTTCCTTTAAATTCATGAGTTTAAAATTTGTCTGTCTGTCGGTCTGTCTGTCTGTCTACAAATTTCACGATTAGATTCGATTCTCATTCACAAGCTTCGATTACCGATTCGATTCGATTCAATATCGATTATTTTGGATATATATCAGGTACAGTACAAATTTTCTCAAGGAAAAAAAATCTCAACTAATGCTGTAAAATATACATGAGTCATTTGGTACTACATTACTATAATATTTTTTATTAGTTTTTAAAATGACACAATTACATAATAATATTTCTACTTCAATTCGTTGTTTTTTTTAAAATATAAACATAATGGTGGCTATCATAAAACTTGATGGATTTATTCAAACATAAATTAAACATTGAAGAACAGTAAAATTTATAATGAATATGTTATATGGTGCATATATTTAGCAAAATGCCCCTCTCTACAGTTTATTTTTCTGTCTGACTAATGAGTTTATGGTCACCGAATATGTTTTTTTCTGAGGTAAATGTGACATTATGTAACATTGTTTACAAGCCGTTATAAAGTCATCTTTAGGAGGAAACACTGATTGATCGATTACATGAGACAGGATACAGATTGTAAAGTTGTACTCTTTCTTTTAACTTGCCCTCGGATGTTTAGTCATGGTTATTTTGTGCTGAAACTGGTATTAATGTGGAGATGATGAGTTCACGTGCGCCACGCGCTGCTGCATCTGTTGAACTGAGACGCTACAGCGATCTGTCACTCCACATTAAACAGCACCAAAATGGCATTTATTGTTTAAATACTACAATACATTGGACATCATTTTAAATCTGAGACTTTGTTTCATATTAAAAGTACCAAAGCACAATGCTTATTGCGATTTATTGGATGGGAAGTGCCCTTCAGTGTTCCGTCCATTAACTGAAAACAGGCTAGACTAATCGATTCTTAGGATTTAAGAATCAATATCGTTCCATAAAAATGAGAATCGATTAATATCAAGATATTGATATTTTTTACCCAGACCTTCTATCTACCTATCTATCTGTCTGTCTGTTTGTCTGTCTGTCATTTTGTTTGATCAGTTTCATTCCATCTATTTTTTGTCATTCTGTTTTTAGGTTTATTTATTGTTCTATTGTTCATTGTAATTTTACTCCATACATTCTCAGTTTAATTCTGAATGGCACAACTAGGGATGGTATTGTTAAGGTTTTAACGGTATTACTACTTTTATCGATACCACTTATCGATCCGGTACTTTAACGGTACTCTTATCGGTACTTTTTGTTGTTGGTTTTTTTTATGAAAAAAAAGAAACAAATTGAGAAAAGAACAACAACACTTTATTGTTTTAAATATAATATAAAATAATAATGTATAGCCTAACAAACAGCAATGTTTGAGCTAATATCTATTATACAAACAAAACAAATGATTGTAAAACAAATCAAATAAACACAATCTTCCTGTAAAAGAATGTACAGTGGTTTAAAGTAACACAGTTGGGGCATGCAGGTAGGCTGCAAAAGGACTAACAGCTTTTAACCATTCTTCTGGAGAAAAATCAACACATTTGCCTTTTCTGGCAGAAGTCGGGACCTCTCTTGGCTTATTGTGTTCCCTGCGGTTGAAAAAACCCTCTCACTAGGGGTGGAGGAGGCTTGAGCACAGAGGTAACTTGTTATGGTTGTGAGGAGGGGCAGATCAGCTCTCTTCTCCCACCACCACATCACTGGATCTTCAGCCGTGGGAATGGGAGGCAGGTTTTTGTAGCGTTCAACCTCTAAGTCAACACGTTCACTGAGGGTGAGGGACAAGGTGTCCTTTTGGATCCTCAACCTCAACTCCCTGTCCTCCTTTGAGAATAGCTCCTCTAAGGCGCTCCTTTTTATGTGCAATGGAGGTATGGTCTCCTCCATTTTCTCACCTTCTCCTTCGGATTCCTCCTTTTCTTGGTGCTCTGTGTCTGTCATCTCATCTGACAGCCCTATTGTTGGTCTCACATTGGCCTCAATAGCTTTCCTCCTCAGTCTTTCATCACTTACTGACCTCCCATTGAATCTGGGGTCCATTGCTGTGGCCTCATGCAGGAAGGCTTGGATGTCATCATCCTGATAGCGCTGGGAGAGGTTCTTTCACACCTTCTCTTTGATGGATGCTACAAACATTGTATCTTCATCCTTCATAGTAAAATGCTCTTCCAGTTTTTGAAGGATGGGTATGATCTGTCCACAGGTGGCATTTTTCTCACATGACACACATAGTGTGGATGTATAGAGGACTCTCATGAGCTGGACAAACTCCTCAGCCTTATGGAAGTCCTCATCCTTCAGACGGTCAAGGCTGTCCTTGGTGATTGCTTTTCGAAGTTGTGGGTCCAAGGCTGCTGCTTGTATTGCTGGATACTGCTCCATGAATCTCTCTATCATTAGGTAGAGCGAGTTCCATCTGGTCTTGACATCAAGGATGAGGGAGTGTTGTGGAATGCCTGAAACAACAACAACAAACAACATACATTTAATTACCACACACTTGATTATTGAATTAAATTGTTAATTTTGTAAATTTAAAAACAACATTTGCATAATACATTTAACTGACTTACCAAGGAGCTGCTGCTTTTCCATCAACACTGTTTTGGACATGGAGGACCTCTTGAACCACACGACCATTGCTCTGATTCGGGCTGCCCATTTATCAATGGAAGCAATTTTGTAGATTTTCTGTGCTGCCAGATTCAACGTATGTGCAAAACATCCTATTTTTAGGATCTGAAGCTTCTTGATAGCAACATCCATATTGCCAGCATTATCAACAGTCACAGCTACAATCTTGCTTGGCTCTATCTCAAACTCTTCTAGAATGTCAGAGATCTCCTTTGCCACTACTTCACCAGTTTGAGATTGGTACACTGCCCTGGTGTGGAGGACCTTCTGTTTTACACTGCCCTGGCTTGTGTAGTGCACTGTAACATTAAGATAGTGGTCTTGACAGAGGCTGGTCCACCCATCTGATGTGATGGCCAGCTTTGGCACGTCCTTCAGCTCACTGATCACATTGGCCTTTTCAACATCATACCAGGAGGGAATTAAGGTGTCACTGAGATAACTCCTGGTGGGAGGGGTATATTTGGGGTTGAGTGCCTTGCACATTTCCCTACAGTAAAAAATAAATAAAACAAATAAATAAATAATCATTCTTTCATTTGTTATATTATCATTATTGAATTATTGTGTTGCTGTTTATTTTATTGTGGAGTGATGGGACTAATATACAGCCCTTTTATAATTCTGCTATATCCTACTATATTTAATACAACTCTGTATATACTGACAGACTGTCACCTAAAACAGTTGGACTCCACTGTTGCAAAGGGATGTAGGCCTTTCACTATGAACTTGGTCAAGGCTAAGTGGCACTCATTCACTCTCTCCTCAGGCATCCTCCCACTAGCTGCCAGCGTGAAGGGGCTTTGGGCTTGACTTTTGCTTGGACCAGATGCAGGAGGAGTGGGTTGGTTCACAGTAACTACAGCTTTAACAAAAAAAAAAAAAAGTTGCAAAATGCAGCTAAACAATCAGCTGTGGCTAATGTTTATGTTTTATCATGAACACATTCACATAATTTAGTTAACTCTATTTGGGCTTAAAATGTATACAGGTTTGGAACCTCTTGCAATGTACATTAAAAATAAAAATGAATGTATTTCATCACTACAAATTCATTTTTAGGTAAGCACTGCTTTATAATTTCTTAATAAGCATAGTTTATTATTATTCATCTATTTGTAAATGCAGTACTGTGAAGGCATTTTTAATGTTTAAGATTTATTTAGGCTACTGCAGAAAAAATACTCTAAAGATTTATATGTAGGCTTTTTGTAATGTAACTGAATGTGATGTGTGTTTATTAAATGATTACATACTAATTTAAAGAGACCTTATGCGATGCTTATGTCATTGTTATTTGGGAAGACTGCTAGCATACGTACCTGAGGTGGATGAACTAGCTAGGCAGTCGAAAACTTAGCATTTCTCTGTCTGCACATAATGCACTTTTGAAAGATGTTTTGACAGATTGCTTGTGTTTCTGCTCTTACAAGCAAAAATCTTATTGCGTTTGTTGCAACGTGCATTGTCTGCATCCACTCGAGTGAAATGTAACCAAATTTTAGACCGTTTGGTTCTCTCCACAATCGGCACTCTATTAAGCGCGAGCTTTCGTGTTGTTGACAGACAGGGACATTTTGCGCATGAGATTGCGAATAACAAAAATGCAGGTAAATGTCTAATATTATCGCAAATTAGAAATGGTTGGTCAGTTAAAATGTGCAAGGTAACGTTTATTTAGCAATAATAAATAGGAAATGTATTTTCTTAATTTCTCCAGTACCGATAGCAGAGCCGTTAACGTCAGAGCTTATCGATACTCCGGCCTTTCATAATTTAGCCCTGAGACCGATTAAATACCGGGTTTCGGTACCCATCCCTAGGCACAACCTTGCAGATGAAATATAAAACAAGTTGCTAGTTCGTACAACTCTAAGAAGCGAATTCTGTTCTAATTCTAAGCAAATTTCACAAAAACTGTTAACAAGTAATAAATAAGGCTGCTGAGCTTGTAAGGATCCCCCTGTGTGTGTTTGAACGATACAGATTAGTTTTTTAGGCAGGCGTTTTGTGCTAGCAGTATTTTTCTGATTAGCCTTTTAACTTAATTCTTACCAGAAATGTTAAAAGATAAAAGCAGGATAATTGGGTTTACATTTTTAAATGAAATTTAAATGCTCTAAATGATCGAATTTAAAAAAGGTGAAAGAGATGAACAGATGTTCATTTTGGGACCCCACAGACATGGTTCTGTAGACGACGTCTGTGAACAGCTCTCTTATTATCATCCCTCACACTCCATAACGTCCCATCATTCCCCATGTGGGGATGAATAATAGTTTTCCCGCCCCTGTGGAGACCAGGACCACCCATCTTTACTGCATTAAGCATTGAGGAAGGGAACGCTTCGAAAGGCTCCACTGCTTTTCACCTTGAAATGAGACAGTACATCACTCAAAGGTCACTGCATGATGACTTTGATCATTTCAATTAAACACTCATTTAGGACATTACTCATCTGTTGACTTGAATATTTCCTTGTGGACAGAATGTTGTTTGCTCTAGAATTCTGAATTATAAATATGGTTTTAATTTAGAAGAATAATCAGTTTTATTGCCATCTGCATCTGCAGTGCTTGCTCTGTTTGTTTTCTCTGGTCTATAAAAACAATACTAATAATGGTTTTAGCCTCTCTTATTCTCATTTATATTCACTTATGAAAATATGTAAAGTTCTGTCAAAGTAATCATGTATATGTTTCTTTTTAGTTTTTCTTTTGAGTTTTTAAAAAAAAGAACATTTTGTTCATGACCATTCTTTTCTTTTTGACCCTTAGAGTTAAACAGGCTGTTATTGCTACTGTACTGTTAAGACTTCTATATGTAAATTAGTGTAGTTATGATTGGCTATCCTCTTTGCGTTTAAAGTGAGGGTAAGGTTGCCGAATACTGAATAGTCGTCTATATATAAATGTTGGCATCTGTGCTTCTATAACTCGTGAGGGAAGTGTTACACTGTAAACATTAATGCATGTCTGCATAGTAGATTGGGTTCTTTTACAGTATATTAAAAAGCAAGGAAAGCTGTTTTATGTTACTCACTCTCATTTTGTTCCAAACCTGTATGAGTTTCTGTTGAGAATATATATCCAATGCCATTCAAAAGTTTGGGATCAGTAATATTTTACCATAATATTTCTTTCAGTAATATTGTGTAATATTATTAAATTTTAAAATAACAGTTTTTTATTGTAATATTCTTTAAAATAGCCTATATTTTATTCTTTGCAGTGAATAAAATATGATTAGATGCAGTGTTGAATTTTCATCAGCCATTACCAGCCCGATCTCACGGCAATTCATACATATTTTACAAGGTGGTTAATTCGTCCGAATTCATACGACCTCACGGCAATTCATACATATTTTACGAGGTGGCTAATTCATACGAATTTGTACGACCTCACTCGTACAAACTCATATGATTTTTTGCTAAATCGTACGTATTTTACGATTTGCACAATTCGTATGAATTTGCACGAATGACCTACACCTAACCCCGCCCCTAACCCTACCCATCACTGGGGTCTAGACAAATCGTACAAAATCGTATGGATGAGGTTGTACGAATTGATACGAATTAGCCACCTCGTAAAATATGTACGAATTGGTCGTGAGATAGCATTGGCCATTACTCCGGTTTTCAGTGTCACATGATCCTTGAGAAATCATTCTGAATTATTAAAAATATGATGATTTATAATCAGTGTTGGAAACAGTTGTACTGCTTAATATATTTTTTTGGTACCAGGATTCTTTGAATAAAAAGTTAAAAAGAACTATTTATTCAAAATAGAAACTCTTCTGACCATCTGACCTCTTCTGTCTTTGCTATCACTTTTTATCAATTTAACACATGCAGAAAAAAAGAAAAACTTCTTTATTTACTTTTTATTCATCAACGAAACTTGTAGTTTGTAGTATTTGAATTGTCGTATTTGCATAGTTAAGATTTTGTAGGATCTCTAATGTAGCAAACAGAATTTCTCTAAGGTTGATGGGATTCTTCAGGGAACAGAATCCAGCTTGACATTGGAAACCCTGTGGAAAAGAAGTGAAAAGCCTGACAGTGACACCTTATCACACTCACATGATGTAGAGATCACATTTCACTTCATATAATTTCTCCAAACCGGACTGTGTTTTACTCCATTATGACTGTTCAAACTGTCACAGACACAGAACAACTACAACATGATTGAGATGTCATGCTGTAATAAACTGCCAACATGTCAAATCACAAGCAGAAACAAAACCAGCAACAAATGCGCAACAGAAATCAATGCAGCCCGCTGTAAACCAGCATCAATATAACGGGACAGCTTTATTCATTCACCCGCTATAGTCCACACTTAGATGACTGACAGCTAAAGAACAGCTTGTAGTCTGGGAGTTTCGGCAGTCGCGTCTTTTCTCTGCTGCCCGACCGATTGCGTGCGGGGATAAAGATTGCAGCCCCTACAAAGAGCCTAGGCTGTGGGTACTTCTCAAGAGTCTGTGTGCTTCTGTTTAGGGGCCACTGGCTGTGCCCTCCGCTGGTCCCTCACAGGCCAGCGATCAGCATTTCAGACAGCTCATCAACTCACACAAACACATTTGTGAGACAAACCGCTCACTGTGCCATCAGAGACAGCAGGGCGTTTCAGACACATAAATTAAGGGCGGGTGGGCGTGTAGGTGCTTGTTTGTGTGTGAGAGAGATTGGGAGGACAAGATCAATGCGTTTGTATGTTCTTTTTGTGGTAAAGCTGATTCATAAATGGTTTAAGTTTTTCCTGCATTTCATCAATGCCAAATAGAGGCAGAATATTAGTGGTTTGAGGAACTGTCTCTAGTACTATTGCTAGTGCTTGGGATTAGGGGTTTGTTGAGATCCCTAAATATTACATTTGGTGAAAAACTCATCCTACATCGTGCTAAAGATATGAATGAAACCTCAAATTAGTGTGAGTTGTTGTAATTAATTAATCAACAAACCCCTTAAACTCTGGGGCATTTTTTTTTTTAATTTTTGCCTAAATTTGACATTTCCATATTTAAATATTTAATTCATTATTATTATTATTATTATTATTTGCATGCAATGTGTTTTTGCATTTCTATGTTGGGAGAAGCACCTTTGCCTTTGTCATTATTTATTTATTTATTTTAACATTTCTATTTAGCTTTAATTTAATCTTTATTTCAGTTTTAGTTTAAGTAATTTCTGCATTTCAACATAAAGGAAAATTAAACTACAATTGAAATGAACTGTAATACGTTCTTCATGTTATATTTATATTTTATTTCAGCTTTATTTTAATCACATAAAAATGATATTTAGTTTTCTTTAATCAAAGCGCTGATGTTGCCTGTTCTTCTTTTTTTTGCAGTTTATTTTACTTGGTGTTAATGTAATGATAGTATACTACTACTAATAATACAGTTATTATTAAAACATTACTTTAAGGAATATTTATCCGAAAAAATAATTCACCAGAATT